CCTGATGGACAAGTCGGTACCCCTGGACCTTGAGGAACTTGCTGCCTCTGACCGGACGGGTGCCGAACGAGGGAGGGAGGGAGGGTGGGAGGGAGGGAAAGAAGGATGGATTGGTGGAGATGACGATGGGGGCGCCCGGGACGTCTTTGGCAAGTCAGTTCCAGGAAGCCTTGCAGCAGCAACAACAGCAACCACAGCAACCGCAACAGCAACAGCAGCTGCACGAGGTGTTTGAAGCCGATGCGACCAGCCACCTGGTGCTTTTGACCGGGTGGATGGAGCGGGTGGATGCTGGGGGCCAGGACGAGGCGGGGAAAGGGAAGGAGAGGGAGAGACGTCCTCCCCTTTGGGGAGGTCGGGTACGAGAGAGGGAGGGAGGGAAGGAGGAGAAGGACAAGAAGGGCCCGGGGGGGGTCACTGGAGCCTTGACAGCCATTTTGAGCACGGTGGGCGGGGCAGGGGGGGGAAAGGGAGGGACAGGCGAGGGCGGGCACGGGGAAGGCAGAGATGGCGGAGACAGTGGGACAAGGTCGCCGGCGATGCCTCTCGTGGCGCCCCCCACGGTGGTGGTCCCCTACCTCCCTGCTGGCCGTTACACGCTGGCGCCCGGAACCGTGGCCTTCGTCTTACCCGAGAGTAAATGCCGACTGGTCCGGCAACAGGTGCAGCGTCGGTCCCCTCACACAGAGTCGGCGCCTCCGAAGGAGGAGGAGGAAGGAGGGGATGAGGGAGAAGGGGAGGCCGAGGGTGGAGAGCGCGGGGGCAGGAGCCTACTGGGAAAGGAAGGGGAGGGACTGATCCGTCAGCGGTTCACGAAAGCCGCCTCGGTGGGATCCAGGCATCCACCGGCTGCGCGCCAATCTCCTTCTCAGCCCGACACGCCCCTGCTCTCGGTCCATTTTCGGTCCTACACGGGCTCCCCGGAGGGGGGGAAGGCGGGAGGGTTGGGGGGAGGTGCAGGTGCTCTGAAGCCACGCCGGTCGCTTTCGCATGCTGCGGGTGGGCAGCATCATCGCACTGTTGGAGGTTACAATTTGGTGGACCCGTTGCCCTTTGATAGGAGCGGGGAAAAAGGCGACCCGGAAGAAGACGTGGCGGAGGAGCAGCCGCCATGGCAAGAAGCTGAGGAGGAAAGCGGGTTGAGGATGCGACGACGCCGACCTTCGCCTCCGCTGGGCATTGTGGGTGCCCCCATGGCATTGTACGGCAGTTCTCCTCTAGCGGGGTCGGCAGGGGGGGTTGAAAGTAGTGAGCTGAGGAGAAGGAACAGCGCATCGTCGGATCAGGGGAGGGAAGGAGATGGACGCGGGAATAGGGATGGAGGAGGGGACATGGACGCCGGGGAGTCGACTGAAATTCGTCTGAGCCGAAGTCTCTCAAAAAGCGGGGGTTCTAAGGGAGTGTGAGGTGGACATGGATGTGAAGAGCAGCGATGGGAATAGAAGGAAGAAGGCGGAAAATGATGAGGCGCAGGAAGCGTGCATGCAGCACCGAGAGGGATAGACGGAGAAATAGAAGAGAAAATTACCGAACAGAAGCATGGAAATTTCAAAATTTCGTTGATGTATGTGTACATGGAAAGCACCGACGTGAAAAATTGTCAGGGGACAAAAACCAGGGTGATAGATGAAGACGATAGGGTTCAGGATGGAGATGAGGAAAAAAAAAAAAGGAAAAATCCACAACATCCACAACGACCGTGCTCGCTACACAATACGAGATTCTTACTGGAGCGGAGCACTAAAATGTCATGTGTTTGATGAAATTACTGTTCTTAGTTCACTCAAATGCGTCCAGGCTCCGAACTAACCGGCCTGGAGAGAGAAATTCAAAATTTCAAATCGTCGGTCGATGCCTGCGGGCGGGCCGCCCCTGTTACTTTCTGACACAAAAAACAATTGCCGCAGTGGACCGTGCGAAGGCAACATTGTTGCAAGAACGATGTGTGTTGAGAGCTTGTTTTGATAGAGTGGGCGGAGCGGGCCCATGAAGATATATAATGCTCGTAATCAGTCAGACGAACAATATATTCTGCCGCTAGTATCCATGGCAAGACGCGACCCCGATTGATGTCCCATGGCCCTTTTTCCTGTTGCCTTCAACATTTCCCCCCTTCAATGCCCGCTCGTGCAAACGAGTCTGTCATGTGCCTATGGACATGTCCTGTAAACACAGAAATGAGTGACGCACGTTCATAGTACTTCCCTCGTAGGAGGTTGCGAGAGAACAACACTTCAGCACCTGTGTATTCACCGACTCCCGCAAGATGGGAGGCCTTCCGCTGCTGGGACCTATCCAACCATAACACCTTTTCCTGAACTTATTTATTCTTAGATCATTGATCGTGCACTAAGGCTGGTAGCAGCAAAACAGGCCACTCTTGGAGTGGTAAAGGAAAGCGCCAGCTCAAGTGGCACGGATCCACAGCAAGCGGAACACTCCCTGCAAGACAGTTGAAATAGCCGCCTCGTTTTGTAAGAGGGTGCTCAAGCTCCTCTTTTTCACATTTTCTACGCGACCTCGGAGGTTTAAAACGAGAGAATATTTATTTCACCGTAAAAGGGTACAAAGGGGCTCTTGCGCCCTGTCTCGGGCACCCTTCTTTGTGCTGAGACGGTACAAATGGCAGATTTTGCAGAGCACTCGGATCCACATCCATCCTCCTCTGCGGATGTGGGTATGGGGACTTTCGTCATGGCCCTAACTCTGGGAATCATCGCCCGGGCCTATCTGTCTTCCCTGATCCGTCTCCCGTACACGTGCCTCGTCCTCATCTTCGGACTTCTCTATGGCTTTATTATCTACACGGAAGTCGGGATCACGGGATCGGACATCTTCAGTCGATCCGCAGACCTGTGGATCAATATCTCGCCCGATGCTATCTTGACGGTGATCCTGCCTATCCTGATCTTCGGTTCGTCTTTCGCCAGTGACCTTCACCTGTTCTTGCAGCAGCTGACTCCTGTGTTGACGCTTGCCGGGCCTGCTGTGCTTGTCAATACAGCATTGCTGGGGCTTACGGCCAAATACGTGCTACCGTACGGCTGGGACTGGGCCACATCCTTC